TTCGATTAATGTAACATGGGTTGAAAAAACCTGTGGAGAAACGTAGTGATTTGCTTATCGCAAATTGAATTTGTGGCTGCGGTCTATTCCAGTATCTGCGCGCAACTGCTTTGAGAGATATCCTCCACAGCACGAATCAACCGTTCCGTCTGACCATCTGCAGATAGATGACTTGCAATTGGTATGGCTTATGTGGTGTTGAGTGTTTGCCTAGCTTCGCTGTAATCCCGGACCACTATTCAATCGGTCGCTACCGGCAAATCATGTTAGCGAACCTCTTTGCCGCGGAACAGCTGGGCTAAATTCTCACTGACAGCGGCGAGATGGCCCGCAACTACCGCAATGCCGATGTTTCCTAACGCGTCATTCGCTTGGAGCAATCTTCATCCTATTAACATTACAGACGACAGGGAATGGCCGACGTAGACTTGGTGAAGCCGGATCCGAGTGCGTATGAGGTTCTCTTCCACAGCCATAAATACCGCCTGTTCTGCTGCACCACGACGCCATTTGATATCCCGTCAAGGAGTTGTGCCATCTCGAGAGAAAGAACACTGTGCTTATGCAAGAAGTTGGCCGGGCCTGGATACTCTCTTTAATCGTTTTGGAACAAAGGCACTCACCGATCTACAAAAAAAAACTTTTTCACTCTTCCTGCAGGTCCTTTTTTGACGAAGCGATGTAGCGATGAAGGCTCAATTGGCTTGAGAGGAAAACCTGTCTATGTGGGCGAATACCTTGTGATAGCGCATACATTCAAGTATCGTTCGCAATTGTTCAATTTTGTTTTTAGCATCCAACGCTTTATGTTCTGTACAAAAATATCGTCTAAATAGGGTTTGTGCATAGCCACGATCTGGCCTGAACAGCTGTGTTACTAGAAAATTAAATTCAACAGGGTTATGAGACAGTCGCCATGGCATGATGTGCCACTCCCATACCTCTTCGCTTGGGATGCACACCGCAATAAGAGCGAAATAGCTGTCTCTCATAAGCAGTCAAATTAATTATCAGCCAGGATACAGCATCGAACAAAGTGCAGTTGGCCATTCTACACTGCAACGAATACTTTCACGACAGTAGCATTTGTTCCGTAACTATGATAAAAACATATGATCACCACATGCCGTAAGCAATTCGTACATAAAGAGTCAGCGCCGAGTGGGAGATAAAGGTTTCACCAAACCGTTTCCGTGCATCGCACAGCAAAACATCCTTAACGGCGTCACACTGTTTTATTAGTACGAGCCAATGCAGTGTAGCGAAAAAAATGATTTTGGAAACTTGGTCATGACACAAGCCTTGATCAAAGGCAACACACGTGGCGGATTTCGCATCACCACCGCGTGATTTCATCCAACGAAGGAAAAAAAAGTTCTGTAGGATCATTGATGTTAGATGCCCCAGTACTCGCACTCAGTGCTCTGCGAGTGTGCTCAAACACATTTATACGGGACGAATGAGAAGCTTAGCTCCTCATCCGGTACCAACGCGCCAATTCGACGCGCTCACTGTTTTGCCAACTCTTATAGAGAAATTCCAGCTGCACCTCTTGTACCTCCGCAAGGAGACGGGATATCCTCGGTCAATTTCATCCGCGAATGAATAATCGTTCTCGCTACTTATCCGTGGGACTGCAGACTCCACACAGTTGTCTTGTCGCACGATATTGCTGGCTTAGCAGAGCCGAAAACTTGTAACAAGGACAAATCATCCATTTAATGATAGGGGCCTGACTCTTCAGCTTGCGCTACCCTCTGGGATCATGACAAATACCCAAATTTTCTTGTCTCATCATAAGACCGCGGCTCATACGCCGCTTATAGCTTCCAAGCTATGTTCGATGAACCTAGAAGTGTCGCTTTTGGTATTTTCAGAAAACCCACGCCCTGCACGAAAGCTATCGCAGATTCGTGACTGATTCGAAACAACATTAATTTGATTTTTGCATGCAAGAAATACGAAGGTAATTAGCATCCATGAGCATCAACACGGTCACATCTAGTGCTGCCGAATGTTTCTTGTTAGTTGATACATCATTATCGTTTCTTACTTCCGGCGGAGGTGGATTCATGACTTGCCAATGATCCACTTTAGGGAAACTGCGTGGCGCCTTGATCCGTGGCTCGTTGCGTTCCAGCCGCGCCATACATCAATTGATCTTTACGTCGTTCCAGGGCTGGAACGAGACAAAGCATCATGCTGCTGGGGTTCTTAAACTCCACTTGATGCCTTACTATGACCTATAATACTCTTACCAATTGCCCCATCCCAAAATATATCAATATCGCGTCCCTTTTTGGCACTTTACAGCCTCGTGTACTGTCTAATATATTACAGCCTGGCATTTTAAGAAAGTGCACAACATGTCGAATCCATTTGGTCTTTCCACGATGTACTATGCTCGGAACGTTGAATGTAAATACAAACTATCCTGAACCGAGGGCTCGGTCTCGTTTAGAGATTGTCACTTGAGGGTTAGGCCCAACATATCACGATCTCGATGAGATATAAAATAAGCCAATCCTTCATTCGGAGTAGCTTCGACGCCTACTGGATCTCGATGAGATATAAATAAGTTAATCTTTCCTTCGGATGAGCTTTTACGCCTACTAGATCTCGACGTTTCCCGACAATGTGTTTCTCGGACGCCCATGCGTGAAAACCCACCATTCGCACCTCCCAGAGCCGAAAATGAGACAGAGAGGGCGCGAACGTCTATCGATAAACGCCTGTAAGAAAATCGAGCTGTTAGAGACATTACGAGATGTCTGTCTTCTTTCTTAGCATGGCTGAGATTCATTGTCTCTGCTGCGCTCATAGAATTTACGAAATCAATTAATTTGCTCTTGAAGCACGGATGTTGTGCTCCTCATTAAATGGGCAGCAAACCCCTTTCTCGACGGAGGATGGATGCGAAAGGTCTTGGTGCGACCGGTCTGAGCATCTGTCAGAAGATGGTCAACGATGAACATGTTCAATCTTGTGTCAAGCACCAGAATTGAAGTAATCTGGAATTGCTGTAAAGCGCGATATCGATTCGACGTAATAGCTACCAGCAAGCAATGTTGACGAAGGCCTTCGTCGTAAACGGCTTGGACCTCTCAGGTCAGTTTATCGTTAATAGCAGCGAGATAAACCCTCTTGCAAGCGGTCCACAAAGTCTGCAATACTAGAATAGCCGAACGCGTCTTCGAAATACCGCAAATTCAGCTCATACTATGGACCGCCAGTACTCTGCCGGATCCAGCAAGTTGACCAAACATATCATCGCATGCAGCGAATATTTTGCCCCTTAACACGTTCCGCACATACGTATTCGGCTACTCATACGTGATAAGTCACCAAGAATACTTGGCAGTCACTGAACCTTGTGTCTCGAGTCTTCAAATTTGTTGTTCTCCAAAGAATTCGATTGCTCAACACAGGTTGCGTCAGACCCGTAAGCTGTTCATATTGCCGTATCGAATCGCAACGTAACCATAATTGGGACGACGCGAAAGCACATCCGCCACCGTTTTTAGCCTTTTGAAGTCTACACTCCCTCAAACGTGTACTTGACATAAAGGGATAATTTTATCACCATTCACGGTGAGATCGGTGGTGACGACATCTCTGCGCGCAAAGACGCACGATCTGTATAGAAGTCTGTAAAGAGGTGCATCCTGAGCTCAACGTGAGAATCATTCATTCCAAATAATCCTTGTACTAACAAGGTAGTTTTTTAGCAGCTTTCAGCTTACGAAACCCAAACGAAATCACGCGTTCGAGCCCACTGGCATCTGCAAATAGCAAAGTGCAGCCTATTGCAAAGGATGAAGCATCACAGACGGCATGGAACGGCCAACGCTGATCTTGAAAGACCCAGAGTGTTGGCACGCATGAGGCTTGCTTTCATAGCCTTAAAAACCGCCTACCACATGACAATTTGACACCTATCGAAAGGACTGGTAAGCGGTCGTGCAATTTTGACATGGTTTACACTGCACTTGCGCAAGTAATAGTGAGCCGGGCTAAGCTACTCCAGAAGCACTGGCCAGATAGCAATGTTTTGCCGTCGCGTGAACTGATTGCATGCCGGCTTTCCAGCGACGCGACACAAAAATATGGTTATTATCGGTACCAAGGACACAATTGTCTGTGATGACAAATAGCTTAGTCAAGTACATAGTTTCGAGCACCTGCTATCCACATTCGACTTCTTGTAATCTGTACGACATGGACAAACCTATTGTCGCAGTATGTTCTCTTCCCTTCTCTTTAGGCGCGTTGTGTCCTGAACAACTGTGAGATTGGCGTCGCTACGTGTTTTTCCCATGCCGAAGGGAATTTTTATATTCGCGTAGCAGACGACAATGAGACATCTTATAACACGCGCAGAGGATGAGAGTCGCTGGTGCAAAAAAACTTCCTGTTGTATAATCATCCAGTCCCAGAGCATCCTGCTCAGAATATTCACCGCGGTGAGAAGAAATCACTGTCTTTAAAAAGCTGTTGGTGGTACCCAATAAACAGGTCACAGGCACTGCGCGAATTGCAACCACCACGCTATTCTGCAGCACATCCTTATTAAAATTCAGCGTTGCACCAAAATCGTTGCTGCAATTAGCATAATATCGATATGCAATATTCGCCACATGACGTATACTTTTGACAGAGAAAAGCAGCGCCGAGTAAGATAATTAAGTCATCAGAAAAATTGCTTCGTGTTTCGCACGGAAGATAGCGTCAGCGATGTAACATGGCTATCCAGCTCCTCGTACGCAGTAATACGCAAGTACTCGCAATCGCGAACTCATCCTTGACGGATGATTAGTCTAGCTTATCATCCGCTACCAACTGAACTGTTGAAGGTGTAGCATTTTCTTGCACATATCCGGGGGGGTATAATTATTTCCGCTCTTATTGAACTTCTAACGTATTAATTGAAAGGGACTTACAAACCCTTGAGCTATCTTGGTCGCTCTATTTATTGGCAAATAATATTTCTCACCCCTTATCTCCTGATCTTCACTGCTGCACGCAGTGATCCCGCTACACGGTAGTGCTGACGACCTTGCGTGGAAGCCTGACCCCTCGTTCTGTTTTGCCGAGAAAAAAGGGCACGCAAAACGCAGATGTTTTGTACTACGGCAGATCGATATCTGGTGGTATCGCTAAGCTGCTGATCCGCTATAAGACCTCTATCTTCATCTTCAGCATGATTGAGCTCCATTAGATCAGGTTCACTCGTCAAGCCTCCATTTCAGCTTTTCATTGTGTTTTCATGGCGCGAAAGTTTTATCTCCGCATTGATGTGAGGCGTGCATCACTTTGTAGAGTAGATGCGGAAGGTCTCGGCGCAAGTCACAGCCGATTGGATACTCTATGAAGATGGTTACCTTCTACACATCCTCAAAAGGACCCGATAACATCAGGGCGAAAAGAGTCGTGAGCCCCCGAAAAGCCATTCGAAATCATCGAACACACCCGTTACGTCTGGTTTGGCGGTACGAATATCCGAAACATCTGTCACTTTAAATAAATTGTAACAACTCCTTTACCGAGATACTACACGTAAGCACTTAGTCTTGCGCTCGACACTCTCTCTTGAAGATTGCAAATGCGAAGCGCTATCGCTCCTTATGAAGCTAAGCCGTATTCGTGTCTATAACAACCTCCCTCATTTAGTTCTACGTATCGGCTCTCAGTGACCAGGACTCTTAACATTTGCGTCCTCACAGCGGAAGCAATCTGTTTGGTAAACGGTGCCCAATTGGGACGCTCCTGGACATGCTTCACCTCTGCATCCTCAAAGCTGACTAACGCCTTCAGGTGTGCAAATACCGCTTCCAGCCCTTGAAACACTGGTTTGCTGATCCCATAGGGACCCATAAGCTTGCTAAGCTTATCTATATGTGGCACTCAAAGTCCCATTGTTCCAGAGGATCCAGTCCTTTCACGACTCGGTCGTGAGATAATCTACAATGCTACGAAGCTTGGATTAAGAGTCCACTTTAACAACGCACAAAGGTTGAGTTCGCGCGCTTGTTCGCTGAGCGAACCCGAGATCCCTCAAGATTGTTAGTTTACTTTGCTATATCAAGTGTAATGTCAAAAGAAAAGATTCTAATACTAAATACAAATTTTCTATCTCTTAAAGTAAATTGCTTAACCAAAATTCCATCTACTTCAAAAGTACTAAACTTAAATAATGAAAATTCACAATATACGTCTCCATTATATTAAATATGTAAATCAACCCAATATTGGCATATGGTGCATTAGTTTTTTCAGTCATACCTATATGGCCACAGTGCCCCTGCCACCGGAATGGATTGTGCGTGTGTCCCGCTCGAAAGGCAAATTATACTACTATCATATTCCTACGAAAAAAGTGCAGTGGTCACGCCCCACACTTGAAGAAGTACATGCAGCAAATGCGGCGCAGGATCAATCGAATAAAACAGTTGACAGAGATGGGAACATCAAGCGTCAGAAACTCGATATTTCTGATGACACATCAGTTGTCAAGCACAAAACCAGCGTCTTTCAAGCTCTCATTGCAGCTGCCATGCGCGTCGGTACAAGCTATTTAAGCCATCGGACAAAGAAGACACTAGAGTTCACTCCGTGGCCGCATCAATTAGCAGCAGTTGAGAATATCATAACAGCCATCCAGACACGAATGGTGTCAGCCAAAGCAATGCCTACAAAGACAGAATGCTTCTTACTACAACACAGCACCGGTGCAGGCAAGACGCTGACAATATCGGCGCTTACGCACCAGCTATTGCTCGTCAAGGACGCTGTTTCGATGCAATTCCATACAGTGCTAGTCATGTTGGATCGCGTCAAACTGGATGAACAAGTGGGAGATGCAGTGGAGATGTATTTGCGTCGCAATGGGATTGATGAAGTGCTACGAGCTGAGAGCATCAAACATCTGGCCAAGGTATTGGATGAGACGACGATGCAAAGCCCACAAAGAGTGATAATTACTACAACTCACAAGTTGGGACTCCTTATGAAAGATAATGTGATGCTGACAAGATTGCTGTATCGTCGGTCAAATCATACGGTTAATGCTAGTACAATAGATGATAAAGCTGAAACGAAGAATATTTATCAGCGAGTTGCGATCATCACGGACGAAGCCCACCGATCCCACTCATCTTCTACTCGTAATGCTATCGAGACAGTTTTGCAGGCCGGAACTGGCATTCGTACCCAACTCACGGTATGATTACATTGTTGAACTTGTTTATCATTACGATTTGCGTAACTATAACCTCATGTATAGTTTATTGGCTTTACAGCAACCCCAAACAATGTTGCTCTTGAGCTTTTTGGTTCTCAGACAGAAGATGCTTTTAGCCGGCCATTTCATTGCTATCCGATTTCAGCCGCCACAGCCGATGGTCGCATTATGAACGTTCTTGAAGACTATACTTGTGTGAGTTGCAATGTGGAGACGTGTGTATTTCCCCAACAAATCAATGAGCTACTTGATAAAAATCTTGGTGCTCGACGCCGTCTCCTTGACCACGCAAGTAACGATGTTGCAGTCTTGAAGGCCAAGGCACTGATAATGATGGCAGACTTTGAAACTATGAAGCAGAAAAATCCGAGGATAAAATGTATGATAGTAGTTCGCAGTCGTGACGACGTCGTTCGCTTTTACAAGATGATCACCGCATTTGTGTTCAAGCGAAAGCTTGGCTGGAACTGCTACGCTGCTTTTAGTGGCTCTGTAATGTTGACCGATAAGTCCGTCACTGAACAGACGCTAAATCAACAGAGTGTTACCTTAGCCGTAAGTGACATCGTGATTGTCTGTGATAAACTCGACACGGGTTACAATGAGCCTTTGCTTGCGTGCATGTACGTTGATCGCTATTTTCGCGCTAGCACGCACACGGTACAGCTTCTAAGTCGTTTGAATCGACGTCATAAGCATAAGCCCAGCGTTCGCGTTTTAGATTTTGCAAACCATCCGGCACAAGTCCGTCGAAATTTTTCCGACTTTTGGCGAGAAAAAAAGCTTTTGGTATCTGCTACCGCCATCGATGTAGTGGTTGAGAAGGAAAATGTTGTGACTGCTGTTACGATTCTATGTGACTATTTGTCAGAGCTCTGTGCTTGTCCAGTTGACATCAAAGACATTCGCGTTTTTGTTAAAGAGCGCGTACTTTTATTGGAGCGTGATGCATTCCAACAAGTGCTGGATGCACTTCGTTGCGCCGACATAGCTTATAAAAGGCTTGAACAAACTAGTTGTGCTGATTATTTCGACTTTATTGCCCCGTTTAGGTGCGCTTGACGTTGTACAAATGGGTTTACGCTGAGAAACTTGTTTAATGATTTGTTGTCAAATTATAGTTACTGTTTACTACATGAAATCAGAAAGGAGACTGAAAGTCACATAGTGACAGTGGAGGCAGATGTTGAGCTGTCTCTGAATGATGTTATGAGTAAAATGTCGGCTCGTGTTCAAAGTTACTGCAAAAGTTTCTCTGGAGCGTTGTATCCCCAGTCGCTTCAGGTGCGTTGCGAATACCATGTGATTTAAATGTCTACAATATTTACGGACTGACGATATTGTAGGACCGTCTGGAATGTGGTGTGATATATCAAAAAATGGTTTCATGCTTGCTTCAATTCGGGGAACTGGAGTATTATGAAGCTTTTCTCGCCTTGAACGCCGATCGGAATAAGCGACAGACGTTGAATTCGTGTGCTGCTACTCAAGTTGTCGAGGCCAGTTCGAAATTTACAGTACCATCTGAATTTACGGAAGGACCGCAAAAAATCGAAGAATCGCGATTGACAGCACAAATTCGTGCTCTGCGACACGATTTCATCAAAGTCATGCATGATACCTGAGGCAACTCTTCGATATAAGATATAAGATTGTGTGTGGTCACTGAGAGAATGCGTTGGTGTCAGGATTCGAAGAAATCGACAAGTTTGCTCAGTTCCATACCTGCTCTGTGGTCAGCACAGCACTATTGCTTTCGCAGTTGAAGTAGTTCATCAATCCCTTCCAACGATCGATACCTGGTGCCAGAATTCTTTTTACTAGTCTGAGCATTGTGCCAAATTGCCAGGAGACGCTTTTTTGAATGCGATTCAGACGAGCACTCGAATTCTCATGAAAATAACTGAATTTTAACAAGCGATCTATAATGCCGCTGAAGATTTTTGTTTTACATGGTAAGTATATAGATGGGCTAGACTTATCGATTACAACAAATCGCATTTAAATCGAGCATAGTAATGTATCATCTCGAGAAAGAAATTGTTCTCATAGATTCTTAAATCTTGATAATCCCACTGCATTTTTCTAACTCAATATTTCTTTTAATGGTAGAATAGAAAAAAAGTATACATGTGAGCTCGACTTTTAGTATGTGAGTAGTCCGATCACATCTGTTCTGTAGGTCAGCAGATCGCGATTTGATATCGATCAAGATGAATGAAACAGGAGTTTTCTAATAAACCCTTCGGCTTTAAGGTTTGAAAAAAAAGCTGCCTTCCAAAAACTAATAGGCATGTACAAAGGCTATGTCGTCTCCATACTCATCGAAGCAATCTGCCTTCTAATCATTGCATAAGTTTTAGTAGTTTGGCTGTAAAGATTGGACCCAAACAGCTAGCATTCGCGTTGTCAAAAATGTAATGCTGGAAATGCAGCCGATCGGGTATTTTGGCGTGTTTTAGGCCGAAAAAGATCAACATCCGATTCAGTTTTCTCCACAAATCCAACATTGAGATCTAAACATCACAACTTCACATTAGTCTAATCTTCTCCGCCCAAATTTGTGCTGGTGGTAATCTTGTCAGTCTCAGTCTCAATTCCCCGAGATACACATAGTGGCACCTGGACAAGCATTGGAGTGCAGCCCTCAACAGCAAGATATAATCGTTTCTGAACTTCACCTTCCAGCAATTTGGAGATTAATAATGAATGTGCGCTTGTGTTTTTTATATTTGGCAAGAATAGGCAAAACCTTATAATATCAACCAACATAAGCATGTACCCACATCGGAAAAAAATTAATTGTGAATTCAATGACCAGTTGTAGATTATCGCTAGCCACAAGTTTGGCACGAATTACCTGCAGACATTGAACACTTAAGGTCGAGTTTTTTCAGTCTGCATATCAGCCCTGACGGGCTGGCGTCTCTAACATTATTTAAAATACGACGAACCTGCAGAATATTGCTTAGGTCGTAACTCTTAAGTCACCACAGATGATTATAAAACTTGCCAGAAGGCCAACAAGTCTGATCAATCTCCGGGTAGGAAATTGAATATGTGCTGGGAGACTTGTTGAAGCGTTATATATTAAAAAATTGTGAGATGGGCATGAACCAATTCTTAGAACCAAGAATAATATCTTTCGGCTAACGGAGAATCAAGAATCTGTTAAAGTGGAAAGCTGTAATGGATCGACAAGATTCGGAATCGCAACTTTGCTGTCTATGATATAAGAATTTTCTGCTGACTGTGAGCTGCTTCGTGGTAGTGTACTTACGCCTCCCATTGCGATCTGAAACAATTCAATGGATGCTGACTTCAAACCATTCTTATGAGTGCTGACTGAAAATTTTGTTGTGAGAGTTTCATCGCTTATAGTCTGGAGAACTGGATGCTGCTGGCTACTGTTCTTGACAAAGGGTGGAACAAACTGGTCGTCGTGATACTTCTGGCACATTTGGGTCCGAATAAACTCATTAATAAACTTCATTTCACTAATGTCAAGGCAGTTTCCTTTGGCCCGGGCTCGATGAACTTCTTCTGTGGAAGTACTTATGCTAATTAGATGCTCAATATGTCTCCGGACTCGATTGATCACGAGGTGCACCGACAAAGGCGTCACGACGTCTGGAGGTGTGCTTGCACTAATTGGTCCCAGCATTTGCTTAGTAAATCTTGTGAGATCACTTGAAAGATTTTCCGATTCAGGCATTCGAAGGCTGTCTGCAGCACGTTCATCTTCAATGTGGCGCTGTACACGATCTTCCGTTATATAGAGAATACATGTGCCCTTCATACAACTAAATTCTCGAGGAAGCTCAGTTACACCGCAAATGAATGGAACAGGTGCCTGCAGCATGACAACTAGGTGAGCATTTTGTATCAGTAAAATACCCATAACAATACTACCTCCATAAACTCATGCATTGACGGTGGTAGAACGCTAATCAAGGGTCCAGCCCATACAAGTGGGTGCAACAGAGACGCAAATCCCAAAGTAGAAGAAGATAGGAGCGGGATGTCATCTGATACTACAATAAGTTTTGTCTCAAGCAGCAACAGGCTCAAAATCCAAAGGACGCGGTCAATTGACAAGTGTGACAGCAACGACGAGAGCGCCCACTGTAACAACAGCGCGACTTTTTCATCTTGATCATATTCATTGTGCGGTCTTGTCAGTGTCAGCACCAAACTTGGAGATGGAAATACGTCGACAGAAATTGACGATCCTTTTTCAGGAAGAGAGACTAGCTGAAGATGCTGCAAAATGTCGTCAATGAAGCCCGCATGCTGTAACAAGTGTTGGTTTATGAGATTTTGTTTTACAAACAGAGCAAACGAAAGATCTCACATTATCTGTCACGATGCTGCTCAATGGAAGGCTACCTGCACTAAGTTTTAAATCATTTCGCAAATGCTCTGTTATAAAACAACAGGAAATCGTGTCAGGTTTATTTAACCAAAGTGTTGCTTGAGCACACCTTACCATAAAGGTTTCTCAAAACAGATCGAAAGAAAAAAATGAATGGAATTTGCGCAATGATACAATAGCAAATTGGCAGCCTCCAATAACTTTCGTCGTCGCTGCCGCTCTGAAAACTAAGCGTTGCTTTCATACACATAGCATACTGAACACTCTGGCCTTGCAACCCCCCGCCTGAGATTAATAAGACAAAAAAATCTCCTACCTCGAGATTTGGACTTGCATTTACATTCGCGTTCGTACTCTCAATGCCATTTGGAAAACAGAAATGTTCAAGACTCTCAGCGTGAAGTTGACTCGTTGTAGGGTACGCAAATGCAACTGTTGCTTCAAATACGTTTTCTCTATGATTCCAAAAGTTGCGCATTTTAACATCGAGCATATCAGGGCCAATCACAGCTAGATAATCAAAAAGAGCTGGCCGGCCAGACGTGCAGACATTAGTTTGATCCTGTCGCTGTTTTGCACCGTAAAATTCATAAGCGGAACTCAGGACAGAAATTTGGATACTTTACTACCTCATTGGTAAGAGAGTCACCTCTGCAGTCATCGTTGATATCAAGATCGGAAAGTTCGGCTTGTAAATTATGTTCAAGCACTTCTAGCGAACAGTACATGTCGTCAAATAGTTCGTGATCATTGCTAATTTGATCCGTATAGCCTTTTGATCTATTCGACTGGGCAACATCAATGCCGTTGTCTTCAAGCCAGGTATTGATTGCTAGGTATCGCTCCATGTCCAAGGTATTGACAGCACACTGTGTCCTAGGTGATCCACTAACAAACTGCGACCGACGACGTGCGTGCCGTTTATTGTCACTAGCTGGCAATTTTCCTCGACTAGAACGATTACTTGACGAATATAGAGGAGGTGTATCGACATAACATCTATCAACTAGAGAGGACTTATGCTTTGGGCTCCATTTTTCACGAAGATGATTAATTTGCTTGACCCTGGATAATAAAGGTAAATTTTCAAGTCTTGTAAGAAATTCTTGCGAGTTTTACCTGCCCATGCCACTGAAAATGGATTTCTGCTTGCTGATGCTGCTTCCGTCTTCCTCACTTTCACTCATAATGCCTAATTCACGGTGTTCAAGAGGCGGACGGTCACGGTTACAATTTCTAGTTTTTTATCATTGAGCATTAAAAGTATTCACACAAGTTAGATCACGGACTTAATATATTTAAAACCATGAAGCACCTACCATACAGTTCTGGCATTAAGTGCTGACCAGGTAAATAATGTTATGAGCATTCAAGCCGCAATTACTTTACGTGGGCTTTGCATATGCCGAGATCTATAAAAGACCGAATGGGAGCAATCATGAAATCCCTTACGAGCAAGTTAATAAAGAATGGTTCACTTACCTGAGCAAATACACGACCAGCATGACGAAATACATTCGACGATTGATAGTGTTTTCTCAAGAAAAGAAGACTCGATCAAAATGACAAAATACGGTCTCTCCGAATAAAATACCCTCTCATTCAAATATTTTTCCAATTTATGAGATTGCGCCCTCCAAATATTAACTTGCCACCGCTAACATCTCGTGTTACCTTAGCTAACACACTCACACCATCATCGAATCTGCGAGAGATTTGCCGTGCACCTCACAAAGATAATATCGAGTCTCCATGCAACAATAGTGGCCATGCAAGTTGCACGTAGAAAACGTTGACTCTCAGAGTCTGCGTTAACAGAGATAGGTTCGCGCGCTCCCAATCAGGGGCAAGTTCAAGAATCTGTAGGGTAATTCACACTGTTAGTTTGCTCTGCAATTTCAAAGCGTATATAACTAGGAGCAATTATATTTCATATATATAAACATTGTCCTCCTTTTCTGACGTAAGGCCAGCTAGCCGACGAGTCTCCATTTGGAGCTTCGGAAGCTTCAAACATACCGATACTTTAGTACTTATGAATATTCACAACGACATTAAGCATCATGCAATGGTACCGTATTTTATTCAAAACAACCGTAGCAGATGTGTAAGGGTTAAGTCCTCAGATTCCAGTACTTACTCCATTACATCCTCCTTCATCAGGATGTGAGCTAAATTGGGCTCACAAATATTGTATCTATTTGATACACTGCGCAAGAGTTACCGCTCCGCAAACAACCACTGCGCCTGGAGTTCTACTCCACTAATTATACCTGCTTTTCTGAGCGTGATAGCGCCGGGGGATCACACCTGACACCAATCAAACGATGTAACGAGGCTCTGCTAAAATCGCAGTATTCACGGTCGATACGCTCGGTGAGAATACCGAGGTGTTTCTCAACGAGAACGGTCCCGATCCCTTACCTAATCCCGAACAGACACCGCCGGCAGGATTCAGCGATATATGGCCTAGCAGCTTTCCAAGGAGGAAGCGACAGATTTTCAGCCTCTCTGTTATGCAAGTATTGGAATCCATGCTGCTTCCATCGGCAAAAAGTGTTTTGGGACTACGATGTGGAACTCATGACAACACCACCTTGTAATCAACGAGCTGGGCCTGACTCAAGGAAAATATCATGCTCTACTGCAAATGCAAGAGTTTAACAAGCGCTTGCCCAAAGACGCCACTTCCGTTCTCCATGATTGAATCTGAAACCGCTCATATTGCTCGCCAATTTGGTGCAGAGCTTTTATACGCCTATGCGTATTGGGGTTTTGCTCACACCCAGAGCCAAACTAGCGCGAGAAATTGCGCAGCGAACGCATTTATAGACATTTTCCAGGAGTACCGTATGCGCTTGAAGCAGGGGAGGTTGTAGAAACCCAAAACCTTCGTACGGAATGTTTTTAGGTAAGAAGCTAGCAAACGTTGCGGCGGGGTTATCGTAGCTCTTTGCTTAGATAAAGCTTACTAAGGTCACCGACCTCACGATCTATACCAGAGCCAGTATGAGTGTAGCGGCTCGCAATCCGCTACCTCCAGGAATACCACATACCTTAACTCAAGGCAAATAAGCGATTCCGTTCAAAAAATAACTGTATTTAGCTTTTTTATTTGCGACAGAGCCGCCTATATTTAAAACTTTAGGCTTTTCTGATTAAATAGTAATAATTAATATGCATAACTACTGGCAGTCCCGCCACGTTGTGGCTTCTTGTTATGGTGTAGCCACACCATTGCGTAATTACACCGTCTTGTCTAATCCACACCTTTTTACAGTCATACCATCTTGTGTGACTCACCCTCTTTTACTAGGGTAAGTGTAACCCCGTTACATTCTCCTCCATCAAAATTGTGAATATCCACAATCACATTTAACGGTCGCCTCGTACGAAGCTCATGTGTCTAAGAAACCTGACGTCTCCAGAACCTTCTTCACGCATTTTCACCTCAATAAGCCCTGTGTTTATGACACGAAAAACCCAGCCTCGCTGGTACCAGGAGCGCCCGCGGGCAGAGCCCTTCTTCGTCTCCTCCACGCGGTGCAACTCTGGACAGTACTTCCGCAGACTCACGGGAAGCCATCCCTGCCCTCGGCAACCAGGCACCACACACCGCACCCGCCACGGGAACGAATTTTTTCGTCAAGGATACGGCAAGAAATCGGCTACAAGTCGGATACTCCTTTTCCAGGATGGGAAGAAGGGGAGGGTGAGGCGCGCGAACGGCGCGACGTGAGCCCTGCTCGAACCTTGCGGACACCGTGTCCGTTTCCCAACCTCACGACTTCCGGGGTAAGTGGTATTATTACCGATCACTTCGACAAGGCACAAGCAGCAGCCGAAGGCGCTCCAGTAACCGCAATGCGGATTATTCATATGGTGCTTGCCCCTGGTGAAGCCGCTGCGGACGATGGGGTGCTCTTTGAGCGATGGGTGCAGCTGCACCAAAAACTTTCCTCGCTATCTTTTTTACGGCGGAGCCACAAGAATGTGGACGTTCGCGTAGAGCGCCATCTTCGATTTGAGCTTGCCACACTCATGGTGCAGCGCTGACTTCCTGCGTAGTATTGTCGATCTGCGACACATGAAATAATCCATCACGCTCCCACAAGCTCTGTGGTTACTCGCAGGGGTGAGTTTGCGACCACAGCAGCTCAGGGCGATAGCTTGAGCTCAGCTTATGGCACTCTGGCTTCCCAGGCAGCGCGAGGAGTACGACGACGCCGAGCGTCATGATCCTTCTTTGGGCAGTTTTGCCGAAGTGGTACGTCAAACTCCCACGAGTTCTCGGAGTTTTGGTATCCCCGCCACTTCACAAGATTTTAAGTTTGACCTTGTTGATGCCGTCGGCCCATAAGACGTTCTACGTGAAAGTGGACGTCACCATTCTCGTCGAGAAGAGTCGGCGGCGGACAATGACGTGATCGATCCCCAAATGGATATATTTACCTGCTTTGGGTAAGAGAGGCCGAAATGGCTATGGCATCCACCATGCTCCAAAATGAGCAACAGTGTGTGGCGCTAGCTATCTCCAAGCTGGAGGCGCAAGCGCAAGAATGGGCACTAACATGTAGTGCTTCGGTTGAAGTGGCGTTCACCTCCTGGAAAGAGCTGAAGCGTCAGCTTTTGCGAATGTTCTCGCCGCCTAACCAGGCATATCGCGCGCGATCGCGTTGCCTTGCCGCCCGACAGGGCAAGAAGGTGGTTGATGGACTATGTCCAAGAGTTGAGAGCTTTAATAGCCGTGATGGCTGCCGATCCTTTCCTCGAGGCGGTCACAGTTACCGTCTTTATAGAGGGTCTCCGCTCTGGCGTGGCCAGAATGGAAGTTTTCCGTGTGCATCCGTCTTTTTGAAAAAAGCAGTGAATGTGGCATTGAATGCTGAATTCAACTTTAAGTCGGGGCGACTTGATTGGAATACACACCCTCAGAGCTCGTCGAGCGGGCCTGAGTCAATGGATCTCAGCTATGCTGAGAAAGCGGAGAATGAGCTCCGAGCTGCCGACCAGCGTTTGAACACCGATGGTGTTTTGTCGGTAGAGACACCCGTCACCTTCGGACTGGTTGTCTCTTGCTTAAGGTGCGTAGAGGTTCATCGAGCCGACGTATCGCTTCTAACCAGACTGGTTTGTCGCGGAGAAACGACAGAACCCAGTAAGCCCGGGGCATCCTACTGGAAAGAACTGAGTTCTGTTGTGCCTCAAAGAGGAAGGGGTAGCCCGAAGAGCTTCGTACACGAATTGGATATGTAAGCCGGGCTTGCTGGTCGTAAATGCGACCGGGAAGGGCTTTGAGAAGCCGTGTGAGATCATGATCTATTCCAGATTCTGGAATACTTGGCAACGCTCCACGATCGATTGAAGTCAGCTGTATGCTGAGGTGCTGATAACACGGTTGAGTGACCCTGTCGTTGTTCGCTTAGCGATAGGGACTTGTGTCACTGTGCCGAGGGTCCCTGCGGACCTCGGTATCAAGTTCCGTGACTTTTATAGTGTGGACCGCTGTCTAGTCTTGGACTTGGATACAAGGTATGACCTTATCCTTGGTATGGCCTGGTTGGAATGACATGACGCTTGGATTGATTAGCGGTCAAAGACTATGCGCTCGTCTCCTGGTAGAGCTTTGGTGGGTCATGAACCTCTGCTTGGAAACAGAAGCGCTATTCGCGCGGGCACTGGACCGGACGGTCAATGTGCTGGATGTCGGAGTATCCGAGTTGCCGAACACCGAAGAAGTATCGGACGAGAGTCTCGAGCATGGCTCGCGGGTTGAACGTGGAATGGCACGTATCCCACTGAACACTGCACAAGTATTAAAACATTTGCTGCATGCCAAAAATGGTATGGTCGGACGAGAACCGAGGCGTCTTGAGCGAGACCCCAGTGATGTGCGTGGAGTGATACGGTATCCACTGGACGAAGTCCGAACAAATAGCAACCCTTTGTCTTAAGCGGTTAATAATATTATGGCTTCGGTGGAGCAGGGCATTGGGACGCCGGACGATACTGAGTGCATGATCCCACTGGCCTCGATGAGACGTAAGATATCTATAGAGAGAAGCCGGCGAAGTCGTATGTTATCTGCAAGACGCAGTGCGTCGATCCCGACCCAGGTTGTGTCTACCGTAAACGATAGCGCACAGTTATACAGCCTTGTCAACAGTATGACTGGAGAGGAAGACGG